GCACTCACTACATAAAAGGGATTTTTTTCAAGTAAGCTTTGAGTGCATTATAAACAACAACTATAATATGTATTCCTATTACAACTCCTTTAACTATAGCAGTTGGTAGATTAAAGAGATCAAACAAAGTTTAATGGTGGATGAATGTAAAGTTATGCACTTGGGGGCTAAAAACCTATCAATGATGAACAATCTGAATGTTATGGTAGATCATAGCCAATCTGCAGCTTCTAGAGAGAACAAGAGACTTTCTTGTATAAAAAAGTACAGACTCCAGAGAGAGAGACATAATCTTGCCAGTGTACAAAGAATTAGTAAGACCTCATCAAGAATTTGCAATTCAGTTCTTGCACCAAAAAGGATGATGTGGAACTGGAGATAGTGCAGAGAACAAACACTAAATTAGAAAGTAGTATGGAGGAGTTCAGCTATGAGGAAAGATTAACTGAACTGAATATATTATCCCTTGAGATAATTAAGGAGAAATATGATCACCTGGAATAATTACAGTAAATGAAGTATAAACTCCACATACAGACAGGCATCTTTACATTAAGAGCAGTGAAAATGTGGAACAGACTTCTGCCGGTCCATACATCAGTAATATGTGCTGTGGTGAGTTTAGCAAATGAAACCACAAAGCATAATGGGGAGCAGGCATTCAACGCACCTGAAAGTGTTGAATGAGGAAGATTTTTTCGCAACATTATTTCCTCAAGACAGTGGGGTTCAGCAATGCCAGCAGCAGAACGGTTAAAGCTTAAAGGAGAACTATGACATGAGTGATTTCCACTCACCTCATAGTTCTAAGCCGACCTGTGACAATGAGACTGTCACAGGTCGGCTCAGTAGATCGGGAGGTGAGGGAACACATACCGGGTTCCCTCACCTCTCGATCCTGTCACAGCTCTCTGCCGTGACAGGGGGAGGGGCTGGATTCCCCTCTCCCCGCTCCGATCTGCCAGCGCTGACTGGTGGAACGGACGGGGGAGGGGGCGGGTACAGCTGGCTCTGCCTCTAGATAGGCAGAGCCAGCTGTCACTCACGCAGCTGGGCGGATCCCGTCATCTAAGTCGGGATCCGCTCCAGGTGCGGCGTCTCAGTATACCGCGAGCTGTAGCTCGCGGTATACTGAGCTTAGGGTAACGGGAGGACGCTAGTTTGTGTCCTCCCGTTACCCCAAGGAGAACTATGGGGAAAAACACTGACCCCATAGTTCTCCTTTAACTCCAGACACAGAGATTTTTGTAAGTTTTGATGTGTAAACAAATCATATCTGTCCTCATTTATAATACATTTGCAGATCGCTTTACAGTATGTTAAAATCAATACTTTTCTTTCTGCCAGATAGTTTAGCTCCATACAGTACCACTGGCAGTTCCGGATATGAGAGCTGTGGATCTCTTTGACTGCAACCCTAGTGTCATTTTTCTGCCCCCCCTCAACCCTTAGCCATTTACAGAATGTATTTTGTCAATGCCAGCCTGAGAAACACAGTTTTAGACAAAATGCAATGACCACTGTGGTAATGTTCAACACAAGTTTTTATATTTTTTTTGTCCATTATCGCTGTCCATTTTTTGTCTCCACTGAGTCTGTGAGAAACAATACGTGTGTGACAGGAATAAATGACAGGCGTACACAAAGGAAGCAGATTAGGACATGAGGTTATTGGAAAGACTTACAATTAGCACGAATTAGGCAGTATATATACAGTACATATGTTGTCAGTGCTGGTTAATGAGGGTCCACCTTGGGTGTTTTGTTAGAGGTAGAAGATTTAAACTGTTGCGTATAAACGCATAGTGGGGTCTGGCAGTGGGAATGGACTCATGCTGCTCTCAGGAGCTCCCATACTCCATTCCTATCCTGGCAATAATCGTGCATATGCTGGCACCTGTACACCTCAGCTGAACTCTGTGCTTTCCCAGCATCACCCTTAAGGTGGCCATACACTGTACAACCATCGCAAGACCTTAGTCTTGCGATGGTTGTAAAGTGATTAAAAAAAACATACGATCTGCCCATCTTGGGCAGATCGTACTCTCGATCATCGCAAGTCCGCCCCCCTGAGGGGCGGGCTTCCGATGACCGAAATGCTGAATGGGCAGTGTGCGCGTGCGCACACCGGCCCGTTCGGCCTTTGTCTCCCGAGCACCGTTCAAACCAGCCGAAAATCGTACGATTCTCGGCTGGTTTTCTAGCATGCTCCTTAGACAAAAGACATGCGACCGTACAGTAGAAACGGTCGCACGTCTTCGTTCACACTGCACGATTCTCGTACGATCGCGGGATTTCCCACGATTCTCGTACGAGAATCGAGCAGTGTATGGGCACCTTATGACCTACAAGAGATGATAAAGACAGGCCAGAATTACCTGTTCACAGCAGAAGAGAAGCTAGCATGCTTCCAGTACTCACAACATGGCCACAAAGCCCACTCTGCCCCACGTGCAGACTCACCTTGGTACAACTCATTTCCTGATGAACTTGGACCCCCAGACTTACAACGCCTCCTTCCTTGATGTCAGGGATATGCTCAGAGAAAGCAGACTGTCATACGTCATGCTGTACCCTGCCAAGGTGTGAGTGGTAATAGATGGCAAATTGTCCTTCGTCACTACAACACAACAAGTGCTGCATGGCTTGTTGGAAGACCCCTGCACTCTCCCTGCAAACAACCAGACCAGGTGATTCACCTGAAAACCTATTGCTAAGTCAATTATACCCCCGTTAAACTACATAAACTGGGCCTCTAAACCTCCTCCATGTGTTTTAGGGGCCGTGGGGAAGAGGATGATTTTATACATGTGATGTGGAATTGTAGATACTGTGGCAGTGCGTGGCAATGCCACTGTGTTATCTCTATTCCTGTGTCCAGAATCTGAGTGGCCAGTGCATGCTGATGGCACAGGTGTACACAGCCTTTAAATTAAAGTTGTTGGGAAGGGTTCAATACTCCACCTGGAAGACAGGAAAGCTCCACCCAGGAGTCAGAGTGGAGTCCAGTGCAGCAGGGTGCTGCGGATTGGGAAGAACCCCCAGTGTGCAGGTTAGCACACGACTGAGGCTGTCTGGAGGAACGGACAATGGACTGAGGCCGGAGCAGCGGTGCTGCAAATGCAAAGCCAGGAGGCTGGATGGGCAGGTGCTGCCATGAGATGCTAAAGAACCCCTGCGAGGGTAATTGTTCTGTTTTGTGAACTTTCATTTAATAAAAGTGGGCAAGGAAGCCCTTGAATGAAGATTACAGCGAGTGGATGCGTCCTTTATGCGCTACTATTTGGAGCTAATCCCCACAATACCTACAACATTTCTGTTCTAAGGTTAAGAGCTTTATTGAAGTATCCTTAGTCCTCCCTAACATCCTTATTGCAAAAATTGCCTGCTGGACATCCTAGGTGACCTACTAACTACAACCAACGTTAAAAACATCTTACATATACTGCATTTTCATGATAGAAAGATGATAATCCCAATCCTCCCCATCCGTTCTTTCAAATACCATTCTACCACTGTACATATTATGGGACCCTTACCTTCACCCAACCCATACTGCTCCTGGCTCAACCACTAGGGATGAAGGTTTTTCATAAACTCCTCTTGTAAACCCCTTGTGTTCCTTACCAGTTATAATTTATGATCAGAAAGTGTGTCACTATTATTTACTTTGAGATAATGATGTACCAATAAACAACTAGAGGCAACGTTGTTGTTTTATTAGAACTGATTTTTGTTTTTTTTTCAAAGTTTTTTATTGGTTTTCCATACTTATACAGTTCTATTCACAGACAGTAATATCATTCTATAAACATATAATATATGTATCATAATCAAGCGATATATCACAATCAATGGTCCTTCAACAGCAACAGAGCAAAGGATTGCTTACCTCTGTCTATTGTGTTAATATATTACCAAAGCCCCCTGCAACATGATTCTAAGCCCTCGACACACCTGCTATGAAATGGCGGGTCGAATGAATTCAATTTTCTCTCTGGCCATTGTAAGAACCGCTGTTAGTCACCCAATCTGTGGGTATTAGATCCCTCTGGATGGGTATTACAAGGCTCCCACCAAGAGGGAAAGTAACTGAAAACACAGTTTCGTTGAAAAATTAAAAGGACAAAGAGAAAAAAAAAAAAGGAAAAAAAAAGAAATAAAAAATATATATCTAAAAATAGAAAAAAGAACTGATTTTTGTTATTATATACTTTATGCAAAATTTTATCATAATCATCTTAAAACAAAAAAGCATTGTGAATAGGCAGGGCTTTATACCTGTCAGCAGCTGAAGACTGAGAGCTGGGTGTGGGAATTTTTCTGTGGGAAAAGAAGCACAATGTAACTGACTCTATAAATCATTGTGAGGAATCAGGGCTGCCAACATCTGCAGCCTGAGAGAGTGGTCTATACTCTAAATTGAAACGCTAAAGACCTCTGCAAACGCCCCACGATTAACGCTAGCAAATATGACTGAATGTTTCCTCCTACCAGATGGGCCTAACTGGGTTACATTAAGGCATTAATGCATAAGATGCCTTAAAGTATATCAACAGTAAACAAAAAAGAATAAAACTGTAATAAATTGCATGAACAAATTTGTTGTGGTGAGCAGATCCTGAGTAGTTAGGTGTCACACCCCTGATTAAGTAGCAATGGCAAAAAAGAAAGGAAAAAAAGTGGGGGGTTTTAGGCACCAAAAGTCCAATAAGCTCCAAAAAAGTTGTAGTATAAAAATAAATTATTTATTATAATCCATTACAAAAAGTTAAAAACATCACAGTTGATAATATATCATAAAAGAGAGAGAGAGAAAACCTCCTAACACCCACTATATTCCAAGATAAAGGTCACACGAGGCATGATAAAAGAATGTGATAACATGATTGTTCTAAATAGTACCAATTAATACAATGGATGGATATGCATAAATGAGACAAAAATATAGAGTAATACAATCCATTTCATAGTTGTGAGAACCTTTAACTGGAACCAGATTAGTGGGTGGTGACAAAGTACTCTACGCGTTTCGCGCCAATAGGCGCTTCATCAGGAGGAGGAGGTGATCTGAAGAAGATCATAGAAAAGAAGACATAAATACTAAATCATCAAAAACATTACATAATAAAGCATCATTGCCGGGAGGTGCCAACCATTCTTACCCCCTCAGTGTGAAGTCAGCGGGTGCATACACCAAAATGCTGGGTAAGCCGGGGAGACACGTATTCCCAGGGTGAGGGAGGATGGAGACCCGAGTCAGAGGCTATAGCGAGGGGTAATAGTAGTATGGTGGGGGAGGAAAATTATCTCATACCCACAACACATCCACCTAAAATAAGCCAAACAGATATATATAAGATGCATAAGAGAGTGGGTACTATACCAAAGGGACCCCCATTCTAAGCCAACCAAGCATTATAACCAATTCCGCCCATCAGTTAATATCCAGAACAGTAGCTAGAGATAAGGAAATACATTTCCACAAAACAGGCTTTCCCAGAGGGAGAACCCTGACTTCCATCTACAATAATTGAAAGAGCATAATGGCTCTCTAGGCCGTTACTCACCAATAACAAGGCACAGCATAAGAGGGGATTTGGTGTAATAGAGCCTCAGGGCAACCTCCTAGCATTCTCCCGCACCGAACGCCGAACGCGGCAGCGTGTGACATAGGTGGTCACCTGACCTCCTAGGGTGTCCCGGCCTCCAGCCAATGAGCGGTAAGCTGGAAGGACACTCCCACCCCAGACGTGAAAAGCTCGATGCCGCTCCAAGAGGATGTTGAAGGGGTCGGGGATACAACGGTGCCGGTCGTTGCAAAAAACGACAATGCCCGCACATACTGGAAGGAGGGGGGAACAAGGAAGTCCCCATCCTGGTTGGAAAGCGTCTCCCCCGATTCCCGGCCAGATAATGAGCACAAAAGGCAGCCGCCCCACACTAAGGCAGGCAGAGGTGGCGACCCACAAAGCATGTATAGATAATACAAACAATATATGAAAAAGAATACAGAACATACATAATGGCAGTTATACAATTGTAGTCATGATTTTAGAGGTATTATACATGATGTTCTGTATGATACATAAATTGGTATGCTACTCAGTTTATACATAAACAATAAATACAAAGTGACCAAACAGCCCATAAACGCAACAGATATCAAATGGAGTGTATTAGAAGGACCCAGTTCTGGCACAATAGAATGGAAGAAAGTTTCTATATTGAACAAAAATTGTTACGGTGAGCAACACAATAATATGTAGCGAACACCTAAACATATTCAAAGAAAATATACAGCAAAAGAGCTCTTAGTTATATATCTTCGTCACTCCCAAGCAGCACCCCGAGAACCGGGGTAATACATAAGATGGAGGAAATGAAGAGTAAAGAAACCACTACAAGAGTGAGGGTGCGGGCAAAACATTTTCCGCACATATGATTATTTGCTCACTAAGGACATATGTAGGTATAGAGAAGGATGTAAGTCATTAATAGGGGCCATATCATCCTCATAAGAGGCAAGTAGATGCCAAATAGGGGTGGAGTACAACGTGGGTGTTTTGTAGGCTGACTTAAGGAATGGTTTAAAGCTCAATGCCTCATTTAGACCAGGGGGTTTTGTGGCATGGAGTTTATGTAGCCATCCCATTTCTCTACGAAGAACCTTCTGATCTAAATTTCCACCCCGTATGTTGTCCTCAATGTGCTCCAAGCCGTAAAAGGAAAGGACCCCAGGGTTGAAATTATGATATAGCCCGATATGCCGGCTAACCGGTGTGGTCATTGAGGGCCAAATATATGTGGTCCTGAATCCGTCTAGAAAATGGTCTGATTGTTTTGCCAATGTAGAATGCTCCACAGACACATGACATTAGATATGACATTAGATAAAATCGTGTTGAAATCGATATGGCGTCTAGGGAACCACAGTCTGCCATTGGGTAATTTGATATGATTACCTTGCTTCATGTATTTGCAGAAATTGCACTGTTGGCAACAAAAAGTGCCATTATTCCTTCTAGTGCTAATTTCGGCCTGTGATAGATAATGACTATGTGTCAATTGGTCTCTCAAAGATTTGGAGCGCCTATATACAACTTCAGGTTTAGGGCCTATAAACGTAGAGATACTGGAGCCCTCCAAAAGTAGATGCCAGTGTTTCTCCATAATGTGTCTAATCTGTGTGTGTTGATTAGAATAGAGCGTAATGAAGCGCACATTAGAGGTTTCACCAGGATCTCTAAGTTCTTTTCTAGAGGAATAAATCAATTTCTCCCGTGTCTGGGCCTTGACACGATGTAATAAATTGCAGCTTACCAGTCCTTAGATGTGATGGCTACATTAGTTTTCCTGGTTTTTTTCCTGATTTTTCCCTTATTTTTCCCTGATCCTGCTAGCAAAACACTTCCGGTCCAAGGGTGCCAGTGGCCACTATAGTGTTGTCCCCCTAGGACAGGCTACAGAACATCTACATTTTTCTCCATTACATAGGGGGAGGTGTTCTCTAGTCTCCAGAGATAGCTGGGAACACTGTAACTGATAACAGTGCAAAGAGCACAGGAAGTCATCGGGTCACAAAATTTCTGGCCGGATCAACAGGTATTGTTTGCCCTTATTGAACAAATATCGCAAAATACTTTCAACAATATGGGGTCTATTCACTAAGCTGCCGTGGGCAGCCGAGTGACTCGGCCTACCCATGTTCGGCCGACCCAAAGTGCAGAAGGAGTTCGACTCAGCCGATCCAACATCTGGATCGGCTAAGCTGAACCTCTGGCAGGCTACTCGTTGCTGTTCAGTCTATTCTCATACATGCCGAACAGCAGTGAGTGAATAGCCGAATGCCGCCGAGCGGCATTCGGCTTGGCTGTTCTGCTCGGTACCTCTGTGGTACCGAGCAGAATAGAAAAACAGTTTAAAAGTAGTAAAAAATTAAATAGAAAACGATTGGCGGAGCTAGCAGTGACAGCTAGCTCCGCACAACTGTTTTCTATTGGCCGGGCGGTTTTGCTGCTGTCAGAATAAAAAAAAAAAAATCACCATAGGAATGCATAGCTAGATTCCTATTGGCTATTTTACGTTGCAATAGCCAATAGCAAACTAGCTATTGCACCCGCCCTCTGCTGCTGTCAATCACCAGAGGGGGACCTGATGGAGAACTGCAGGTCCCCCTCTGCTGATTGACAGCAGCAGTGGGCGGGTGACCAGGAACGCCATCTGTCATTACACACTGAGAACACGGAAAGGCCGCTCTCAGTGTGTAATGACAGTGTCCCTGATTAGCTGGTAACCATGGAGTCTGATCTCTCTGAAAGTGGCCGGAGCCAGGCTAGAGATGACGGCTGGCTCCGCCCAGCTGTCAAAAGCAGGCTGTCGGCCGGCCATTCGGCCAGCTTCGGTTTCACCACGGCTCAGTGGAGCCGAGGCATATGCCTTTGGCTCGACTGAGCAGCTCGGCCAACTTCGGGAGCTGTACGGGCTATAGTGAATAGCCCGTACAGCAGCCCTTCAGTTCTACTGAACCGAAGGGGTCCTGGGGCCGAAGCTAGCCGAAGGATCAGCCGAAGCTACGGCTAGATCCTTTGGCAGCTTAGTGAATAGACCCCTATATTTACCGGACCAAAAGGGAGCAAATAATTGTCAAAAAATATTGTCAGGCTTACTTATACTTTAAATTAGTATTTCTTAAACTATGGGTCAGGACCCAAATTAGGTGATAGACATGTTTGTGATGAGTCGCTGCATGACTGTAATAAACCTAGCCTAGTTTGGCAAGTTTGTGTCTGTGTCCCAGTACGGTACAATTTTTTTCTACTTGGGTCCTTTCTTTAAATACAGAAATCCCTTTAACCTAGAGGCCCATCAATATACTGTAAAAATATACATTTCTTTGTATGTGATTGCCACAAGTGCCTAGAAAAGACTGTCATTTATATCCCTACAAAATACCTCAGTAGAGATCATGCTTCTCACCTCAAAACATGACAATCTGGTGTCAGTTTACTATTATAACCTATTGGGTTGAAAGTAGATATATACCAAAACATTAAAAGAAAATTAAAAAAATTAAAAAAAGGTACCAAATATTTACAAACTTACCTGTGTCTCCGGCGCTCGCTCCCGTCTTAAGATTCTCGAGCGGCCTTGAAGGATCATGGGGCGGGCGCATGCACAGTAGAGATCTTCGGTGGGGGGAAGAGGAGAGACACAGGGTAAGTCAATGCACACAGCCCAGCAGTGTGCACGCGGACAGACACCGTGGGGCACAGAAGACACACTCAATCAGCGCTGGATCAGAGACCGGCATTTAAGGTAAGTCCTTAAAGCAGCAAGTGGGGGGATGTGACTTTAATGTCACTTTAAAGGATAGGATAGTTCGAAGGTACCTATCCTGACTCTCACCTATCCATAAACGAAAAAGAAAGTAAAGTGTTATGCAGAAAGTTTTTTTCCCCCCATACTATACAGTTATCTGACTCCTCAATCACCTCTCAATATGACTTGTTTTCCAGAACATTTTTGCATGTTGCGTGGGAGTGCCCAGAGGTTAGACCTTTTTGGTCTATTGTTTCAGAGTTCTTATCTTCTCCTTTAGCTTTTTCCTTTTTTCAATAACTGTAGGCCAGAAATGTGTTTGTTAGGCAGCATACATTATATCATTCTAGTTCCAGACAAACGCTTGGACCGCTGTTATATTATTCTCATAAGTTAATAGCAATGAGGTGGAAACAGCCTACATGCAAACGTATCTTTTTATAAGATGACCTATAAAGTTAACCCTTTGAAATTCCAGAAAAATTGGGCCCCAAATTTGGAATATATAGCAAGGTGAATATATAGCAAGGCAATGTCCCCATATCTTTCTTCCACCATTTTATGTAATTTTACTTTAAACACTGTGATGTCCTGTACAGGCCTCCCTCGTGGCAGCAGGCCTCAGACTGCTGCTAGGGGCTCGTATTTGAAACTGATGGCAGCGGCCACAGCAGCAACAGAGCTGTCATTCTAGTTACACTTTGTATCATGTCATGCACAGGGCCGTCTTTACCGCAGGGCAAAAGGGGCACTTGCCCAGGGCCCCACAACGTACAGGGGCCCACAGCAGCTGTCCCTTTCACCCCAAGTGGCAAACAGAAAACGAGCTGTGTGTGTGAGCCGGTGGGGAGACAGAACAGACATCCGTTCTCAGTAGCAGCCAGCCTGTGAAGTGACCGTCCGTCCGTGTGTGTGTGTGTCTCCTGCTGTGATCTCCTCCCCCGATGTCTGTCACAGAGATCCGGCAGGCACGGAGGAGAAGGAGGGGGGAGGGTTAAGCCAGACGGCACAGGTAAATCTGAAAAAAAAACAGTTACCATCATTTTTTTAATCTTTATTTACACTTATCTATATTTAACTTTACATCTGTCTTTAGCACGCAGGCTGGAGTCTGGGAGCAGAACTGGGGAGGAAGATTCTGGACTGTGTTGTATTTACAGGCATATCACTAAACATGTGCTGAAATGTATTCAGTCCATGTGTTTAGTAATATGCTGTGTAATTGCAATACAGATTTTACTAATTTATCCATGTTCTGTACTACCTTATAAATCATACAATTAGATTTAAATAAAAATCGTATTGTATGATTTATCAGGTAGTATAGAACAAATGTACCAATCAGTGGCGGAACTATCGCCATTGCGACCCAGGAGTCAGCTATGGGGCCCAGCCAGGACGAGGAACTAAGGGGTCCCCCTGATGCCGTGCGGGTTGCCTGGGTCGTTATGGCATCGAACGCTGCTGGCTGTCACTGGCGTCTGTGAGGAGGAATGCGCTGCTGTTCAGTTCACTGACAACCTGTCACTGATCTGTGCAGTGGCACGTTCCTCCTCACACCCGCTGCTGAGTTAGTAACAGCCAGCTGACAGGTAAGAGGTGTGCAGGGGTGTGACCGGCCCACCTGAGACCCTGCAGAGCGCACTAAAGAGAGTCTATGGGGGGCTCATTCCTATGCTGTTTTTTTATTATTATTCTGACGGCAGCAGCTGTCAGAATACACAAAACAAAACAAAAACCTGCAGATAGCAAAGAAGCTATTGCTTCCTCTGCTATCTGCCATCATTTCAGGGGGGTGCCCTGAAATGAGAAGGGCACCTCCCTGAAATTGCTTCTTTCAGGTTGGGATCCCTGCTATACACACATACATATATTGTTTTTATTTTTTAGTTTCGGGGGAAGGTGATGTAGATCAGTGGTTCTCAACCTGTGTCATCTCGGGGCCCACATTTGTCCTTGGTCATTAAGTCGTGACCCAAGTCGCACTGCAATGGAACGCACAGCATTAGGGTACCGCGCATTCCGGTGCAGGCGTACAAACTGTGGGTGGGAGGTGCATTTGGGGTACCATTCAAACGAATGGCAACGCAACACACCAGAACGTGCGGTAGGTGCGATTGCGTGGTACATTGCGTTAATCACACAGTACTATGCAATTAACGAACTGTACTAGTGTGAAGGGGCCCTCAAAAACACAGACACAATCTCACACACTCACAGATATTCACATGCACACTCCAAAAATGTTAATTTTTTTTTTTAAAGGTTCACCCAATCTCCTTAACTTACGATAACTGGAGTGGATCCTCAGCCTGGGGCACAGAGTGGGCTGCTGTGCTGTGACCGAGTGCCATCCATATGTGCATTGCTGGTACAGCTCCATTGCGCGCCCTGTAGAGGTGCCGGGAGCCAGAATGTGACATCACTCCCATCCAGGCACCTCTACTGGCCATGCAAGGGAGCTGTAAGCAATGCACGTATGGATGGAGCTCCCTCGCGGCCATTGCCCCATCTCATCCCACCTGAAGCAGACACTCGGCACCGGACAGCATATTTTGAATGGCTGCTTGGCGTAAGAACTGACAATGCTGCGCTACGGGGAGGCAGAGGAGCCTCTCACCTAGAAAAGTGGAAGGCATGCGGCGACCCACTGAATACAGGGTCGCACCCCACTTTGAGAACCAAGGATGTAGATGGATACGGGGGTCTGGGTCAGGAAGTGGGGGGCAGGTAATGGAGGTGGGCGGGTTGTGGGGGCCCATCAGCAAAATCTTGCCCAGGGTCCACTTAATATTAAAGACGGCCCTGGTCATGCATGTGTGGTATGTTTCAGTGGCAGTAAAATACCAACATACAGGTGAAACTCGAATAATTAGAATATCGTGCAGAAGTAATTGCAGTAAGTGCTGCAAAAGGGGCCCAAACCAAGAACTGAGTACATATGCATGCTCGTACTTTTCAGAGGTCCGATATTGTTCTATGTACAATCCTTGTTTTATTGATTGCATGTAATAATCTACTTTTTTGAGGTTGTGGATTTGGGGTTCTTGGGGTTTTCATGAGCTGTAAGCCATAATCATCACAATTATGACAAATCACGGCTTGAATTATCTTGCTTTGCATGTAATGAGTCTATCTCATATATTAGTTTCACCTTTTAAGTTGCATTAGTGAAATAAATGAACTTTGCACGATATTCTAGTTATTCGAGTTTCACCTGTAATTGTGGTCCTTATCTTTGCTGGAGCAGCATATGCCCTGTTAGCCCTGGTCCAGTTGTGGAGACGGGAAGGCTCAGAGAGAGCTGCAGGGACAGTGGATGGAGACGGGGAGGCAGGCAGAGAGCTGCAGGGACAGAGGATGGAGATGGAGAGGCAGGGAGAGAGCTGCAGGGACAGAGGATGGAGACGTGGAGGCAGGGAGAGAGCTGCAGGAACAAAGCTGCTGCGTCTGTGCATAAATAATCATGAACACACTGAGGCTCAAAACCTGCGGTGTCAGTCATAGAGAGGAGCGATCAATGAGGAGGATCCCAACAATATTGACGGGATCTCTCCTCAGTGCGGCGCTTATCCCCGTCCATGGTATTATATTAGAAATAACAGGCTTACGGTGCATTTTGGATTATAGGAGTAAATTACAATATTTACTCCTTTATCATAAGCAATCTTAAAGTGCAAAAAAACTTTGACCCCCATAGTTCTCTTTTAACCGCTTGCCGTCTGCCCACTGTAAAAAAAACAGACCGACAGTAAGCTCCCATTGTCCGGTCACTGTAAATAAACACCTTTTTTTACACATACACGTGCTCGACGGCTCTACAGTGTGCTGCCCTGCGCGCCCCTTCCTGCAGTTCTGTCGTCCCCCCCTCCTGGACCCTCTCCTTCAATCCCAGGCTCCGCTGCCCCCTCTGCGGCCCAGGACCGGCTCGGGTGGGCGTCAAGAGGAAGATGGGAGGGAGGTCAGCATCTTCCTCCTTGCTGCTTCCCCTCCGACGGCTGAATGCGGAAGTGATGTGTATTACATTATGTACACATTCAGCTGTCATTTCTCTGGCTGCTATAGCCAGAGAAGAAGCTGGTGAAGCCAATCTCTGCTTCATCAGCTTCTTTTGGGGTCCTCAGGTGACATTAGGGGTCTTAGAGACCCTTAATGTCTCCATAAGGATGATCTGTCAGTGTGCCTGTGTTATCACATAGGGGGATTGTTAAAAAAAGTTTAAAAAAAGAAAATAAAAGTCACATATAAAAAAATATTAAAAAAAAACCCCAAATTTTTAAGTCCCTCACCCCGCACATATAAACGTAAATACGCGTTGGGTTCGCCAGCGTGCAAAAACGACAATTAGCTTGGTGTCCGCAGCAGATCGGGGAGTTGGAGGAGGCTGAGCGGCTCGGGGCTGACACTAGTCACCACTCCAAGCTCACTCTTGTGATGGACAACAATCTCACATTTAGTTTACTCATTTGTATTGATATTGTAGTCCATCATGGGATCGAGTTTGGAGTGGTGGCTACCTTACAACACACACAGGGACCATGGGGAACAAAAGTAGCCCCCCTCCAGAAGGAAGGACAGTGTCAGTACCAATTCAGAGATGATTTGAGGATCTACAGCTCAGTGATACACAAATAAGATACATTTTTGTTAATAGTTAAGGTACTTGAATGCATTTGTAAGATTTAACTCCTGAGTTTAGTGTCACTTTAAAGGCTAATTGTATGCGTGTTCATTGTTTCCAATTCGGCATAATCAAACATTCTCAACTTATCTCAACAAGCCTTACTTTTTGATAACCCCTTGAAATACAACAGGTTTCTTTTGTGCC